ACATCTCAAAAGAGAAAGGAGATCACTTGGGCATCCAGAGAAGAGAACAAGCAGACAGTACACAAGACCCCTCCTCTCCCCAGACGTATGTGAGCACAGTCATCTTCAGAGGCTCACAAGATCCTGAGATGAAGCATTTGAGACTTGCACTGGTGCCATCCGTAGTAGCACCTGTTGTGACACCTCCTCACCAAAGCCATGTATACAATGACAAACAGGTTTGAGTCATTTCCTTTCTCCCAACTGGCTCATTCCTTTTAAATGTAGAAGTGTCAGCAGTCGGGATCTTCCTTCAAAGAGTACAGATGATCACTTTCCTGAGCTGCCTGGATTAAGCTCTCAGCCTTTTTGTAAATCCTACAGGAGATCAAGTGAAGAGTTCATTCCTTTCCCTCTGAAGACTGAAATCTGATGAAAACACAGTTTCTCAAGTAAATGAGAAATTCTTTATGTGCTCTTGTTGGAAGAATGGAGGTCTACACTGCAAATCAACAGGCAACTAAAGAGACAGCACTGTGTCACTCTTCAGTGTCTTCTCCTTGACACCTCAGTGTCCAGCCGAGAGTTGCACGCTGAGGGCATAGAATCATAGAATGGCCTGGGTTGAAAAGAACCACAATGATCATCTAGTTTAAACTCCATTGCTATCTGCAGGGCCACCGAACACCAGACCAGGCTGCCCAGAGCCACATCCAACCTGGCCTTGAATGCCTCCAGGAATGGGGCATCCACAACCTCCTTGGGCAACCTGTTCCAGTGCGTCACCACCCTCTGAGTGAAAAATTTCCTCCTAATATCTAACTTAAACCTTCCCTGTCTCAGTTTAAAACCATTCCCCCTTGTCCTATCTCTATCCACCCTTGTAAACAGCCGTTCTCTCTCCTGTTTATACGCTCCCTTCAAATATTGGAATGCCACGATGAGGTCTCCCCGAAGCCTTCAGGGCAGGCTGAGTCTCAATTTATTTTCCAGCATGGATCACCAACATACACAGTCTTACCTACCACCAAGCAACTTAAAATCCAACATCCCTGGGCATCCCGATCTAGTAGCTGGCAACCCTGCCCACAGCAGGAGAGCTGGAACTAGATGATCTTTGAGGTCCCTCCAACCTAAGCCACGCTATGCTTTTATGACAGTTACCATGACCTCACGGAGGAGCTACTCTGCATATCTGGGTTCTCTGGGACCACAATTTCTTTGGTTAGGGGTCCAGAGGAGGACAAAGGATACACTGAGTTGTGACAGGGGAAGGTCAGGCTGGGTGTTATGACAAGCATCCTCACCAGAAGGTGGTGAGCATGGAACATGCACCCCACCGCATTGTCATGGCCTCAAGCTGCTGGATTTCATGAGCATTTGGATAACACTCTCAGACTGGATTTTAGTTAGTTGTGTGGAGCCAGAAATTGGTCTCAGTGATACTTACACGCCACCTCTAACTCAGGATATGCTCTGACTCCAAGATCCCTGCTCTCATCTCTTACAACACTCCCTCTGCCACAATGACTCCACTCTTTTGCTCTGTATCAACATATATCCATGGATGTTTTGCCACCACAGCTTCAATTCCCACTCATTTTTCAATTCCCTCTCCAAAGTATCCTCCCAAGTACCAGACAAGCAGCAAGCAGCACAGATGAATAATCTAGACCTATACACTTAATGACTGGTTGACTGGATGCACTAACCATTCAACTGAATGATCCCGCAAAAAATAGGTAATTGTTGAATTTTCCTCTGTTTTCCTTGTGGACATTGAGATATTAAGCTCTTATGTGCTTCATGAACAAGTTCACTGATGGTTGGGTGGAGAAGAAAAGCCCAGATCAGTGATCTGTACTCTTCTCTCTGATGTGATTAACTCAGCCAACCCACTAAAGTGGAAAAAGCATAAAGACACCAACAGGAGAAAGCCTTAAAGGAAGTGAGAGACTTCAGACTTTCAAAAGATAAATTCCACTTCTGAAAACAACCTAACAGTGCTCATTTGTTCTCACTTTCATACCCTGGACCCACACGCTGTGTTTGTATTTAATTTTCTGGTTCACCAAGTAGAAAAATAACCCATTCCTCAGGCTTCTCCTTTTATTCATGCACTTGGTCAGAACCAAGCTGAACATGCTGATACGCCATTAAAGGTTTCAGGTACTCCTAGTTCTGGTTTGCACTCACAGTATACCAAAGCATCAATAATGGGCACTCCACTCTCTGCACCATGGGCAATGGCACTGCCCGGAATAATCTACCTTTGGTATCACACACCAAACAAGGTCCCATCATACCAGCCAAGGTTATTCCAAGCTATGATGGCTCAATCTCTCTTCAGCTATGGATGCAGGCAAGATTGATCAAAACCACAGAGTTAAAAATTAAGAACTGTTTGAGTTGGAAAGGGACCATTAAAGACCATCTAGTCCAACTCCCCTGCAATAAAAAGGGTCACCTACAGGTAGATCAGGGAGCTCAGAGCCCCATCCAGCCTGATCTTGAATGTCTCCATGGATGGGGAAACCCATCCACCACCTCTCTGGGCAACCTGTTCCAATGCTTCATCATCGTTAGCATAAAAAATTTCTTCCAGTCGTATTCAATCTAAATCTCCCCTCTTTTAGTATGAAACCATTTCCCTTTGTCCTGTCACAACAGGGCTTGCTAAAAAGTCTGTCCCCATTTTTCTTATAGCCCTCCTTCAGACACTAAAACCCTTCCACAGCTCTTCTAGCCAAACACCAAGTCCCTTTCATTTTGAACAAATCAAACGACGGAATTGGCTCACCACACAAACATACGGATGCCAATACTGGCAATAAAAGAGGCTGAAGGCAATGGAAGCTTTTAAGAAAAATACAAAAAAAAAAAAAATCTTATATTGGCTTAAAGTGATGTGAAACTGCACCTTTGAGCTGCGGCTCCACGATGCATTAGCTCCGACAAGGGAGATAAGTTAGGACCTTCCCACACTGCTCCTTCCCTGCCCCACACCACGCTTGGCTCTCCACTCTCCCTCTAATTCAGCAGCCAGCAGCTCATGCTGTAAATCAGATCAATGAAACATTCAGTTAAAAATAACAGCCAAAACCTCCTCCATTGCGGGAGCGCCTTTAGTATAATAAATGATGAAAGCACGCTGCTAAAAAAAGCAAGCTGAGCTGAGAGAGATTTCTGAAGAAAAGGTGGCAAGAGCAGCACCAAGCCCAGCCAGCAGAAAAAGGACAGACAGAGAATAAAACTGAAATCAAACCTCTGGCTGAGGCCCTACACATCCATAAGAAGGAGGAACTGATCCATACTGACCTGCAGCTCAGCAGTGTGTCCCAGATACACACTAAGACCTTTGTTGTTTCCCAGCAGAACCATGACTAAATACCAAATTAAATTAATAATGACCCAAATTAACTGTTCAGTGTCAGTAATCACGGCAGTTCAATGTCCTGCTCCCACCATGACAGTGCTGTGGGTCCACTATCTGGGTAGGGATGCTCCAAGCTCTACCAGGTGACCAGAATAACCCTAATATATAACCCTGCATCTCTCAACAGTGGTCACGTGGCTTGAAGAGGATTACCTGGCCTTTTTAGCTCTGCATGGACAAGTCACAAGAGCAGGATATCCCGGGAAAACTATTATTCTCCCATTGGGAGAAAGCCCTTGGGCATCTCATACATTATTTATGCATCACAGTTGAGAAAAAAGGTTTTTTACAATCATTTTCATGATGCTGAGAAACATGAGGTCTTTTTGGCGTGTTTTTTTTTTTTTTTTTTTTTTTTGTAGGTCTTTTTTTTACCTCTTGTTCCTACAACATCTGTGGCTAGCTCAGCTTTACCATAAATGCAGATGTATGGCAATGCATTCCTCTAGAACACGTGCTGCAGCTTCTCAGCTGCTTCCCATCCCATTTCCATCTCAGCTGTTTCCAATGCCAAGATGCAAACCTGTAGCTGCAGCTTTTAATGCCTTTTACAAACATGTAGTTCGCTCTGTATTTCATTTCATTTTCCGAACAGCAGCAATAGCAAGTTTACTGAACTGGCTAATACATAATGACACCATCTCCAGAGCAAAAGAAAGGCAATACAGATGGAATGAGAAGTACAGAGTGGACACAGCATCCCACCTGAGTTATAGAATCACAGAATCATTGAATCACTAAGGTTGGAAAAGATCTCTGAGATCATCTAATCCAACTACCAACCCACCACCACCATGCTCACTAACCATATTTCTCACTGCCACATCTATACATTTTTTGAACACCTTCAGGAATGATGACTCCATCACCTCCCATGAAGTGGTTTGGAATGATGCAACACCTTTTCTTTCAGGCTTTTGTTAATTCTCACACTGGAAGCCACAGACCTCCCATATTCAAATCAAACTCAATGTTAAAAAAGAGGGATTGCAAAATATATAAAAATTGCACTCCTAAGGTATGTCATGCGGCATTTTTCAAATAAATATCAAAAGCTATTTCAGTACAGGGTTTCCACTTACTTGCAGTCTTTACACAACTAAAAAGTTTAATCTCTTCCACATATTTTAACTTAATTGCACAGAGAAATTCACCAGCATAGGACACTGCCAATCATCCTGCAGTCCACATCTCTGCAGTTTGCCAGGCTGCAGACTCCCTAAAGCCACCCTTCTACAACATAAGATTTCCTCTGGACCTACTATTCAGAAAGTCTCCAGCCGGCCTTTGCTTCCACCCTCCAAACTGCAAGAATTCATCAACACAAATTAAATTCAAGCTACCCACGTCAGGAAACATCCTTCTTTTCCTGTGCATACACAGCTTTTACCTTCCAGTATCTTATATCCTACAGCTTATACTCAATGACTACCAGCTGGACCTTCAATAGCAGGACATATATTTGTACAGCTCTACTCTATGTGCAAGTAAGAGCTTTCCAATCAGATATTAGCATTCAGTGTCTTCTCTGTCATTCCTACAGCACGCTGCAATACATCTTCATCAGGTTCTTGCTTCAGCTCACCATGATGGGGTACGGCTCATTCTGGGGACAGCTTCCAGGCACAGTCTCTCAGCTCACTCTTACAGACCACTGCTGTGCCAAATCCAGATACTGCCAGAAATCACATGCACTAAAAGAAAAAAAAACATGCACATAATCCACTTCTTTTCTAAAAATAGTCACAAACAGGTAGGTGGATGGCTGGACTTGATGATCATAGAGGTCTTTTCAACCGTAATGATCCTGTGATTCTAATACTGAACAAGACGCAATATACACTGTATTTTAGTCGACGTGTGACTATGTCAGAGCCAAAGCAAGGTGATTCTAGTCCACAACATTCCTGATTCACCAAGAAGGTGCAGAACCTTGGAACCCAAACTTAGAAGGTAGCAAGTGTAACACAGCATCAAATTGCCCCATTTGCTTCATATTAAATAGACAGGACAGAGGTGCTGATGCTGAAAAAATTCTCAGCAATTCATGCAATCTGTATTGAATTGCTAGGTTTGCACAAACTCTGTAATATAGTATTGTGTATCATTGTGTATCTGGGAGGAACAGAGACAAGGCACGCTCAGCACCTGCCTCCATAGCACCCTACTGCTGGAAAATTAAGAGAAAAGAATCTTGGTTTAATGGAGTGTTATTCTGATTCAGTATAGCACAGAAAGAGATGGATTTGCATCATTTAGTTTTTAACCCTCCAGTAGATTAAATTAAAAAAAAAAAAAAAACCAACACAAACATAACAAGATACAAGAGCAATTATGAAGAGGGTGGCCAGAAATTGGTGCTACATTTATCACGGGAAGCTGGTTGGGGAGTTCCCCTGAACCAGCTCATACCATTGATGAAGGCATTTCTTTGCATCAGCCTGCTGCAATACACAGATAAACCACAGCTGCACTGCATGCATAAATTGCGCTTAGATACATAAATCTTAACAAAGTGGCTTCTTATTTTGAGGCAAAACCAGCAAGAATTGTAAGTTGCATTAAAGATTTGCTTTTCCACCCTCTTCTCAATCGTCTGAAAGATCAATTGAAGTGATTTGGCATGAAACAGGCGAAGATGAGCGCTTTCCAAAATAAATAAATAAATAAATACCTTTTAATGATTTCCATAGGAGATGAGCGTAGCTGTTTAAGGATTCACAAAGCAAAAATGAAGAAAAGGCTTAACCATCCATCTCAGAAGAAACAAAATACTTTTCTTAAGCCTTCCATCACTTGCAAAGTTTTGAGTGCTCAAATACAAATATTAGAAACACGCCACAACAAGCAGAATTGTTTCCCTTCAACACAAGAATACTGTGAATCCCTCCTCTGCATACACACATTTGCTGTCTCCACTGCTCTTCTATTTGCAAAGATTTGAAAAAGAAACTATGAGAAGATCTGTGGTGATTTTAATACATTCTTTCCCTTCTGAAAAATTCTTGCTCATCTGGGTACCAGGAATCACACAGTCCTGCAACACTGTGAAACCATGGAACACGAGCATAAGACCTCTGCATGCTGACCATCAATGTGACTCACAGGAATAAACCTTGGCACTGCAAGGGCATCTTTGAGCTCAACTGGTTCCCTATTTTACCAAGCTTAATGGACAATGGAAGGAAGGGTTGAAAGATCACCCCACCAAGCAACCTGAAGACCTACTTTCTGCTTCCTAACATTGCTCCATATGACTCCTTGCAAAGCATTCTCATCAGAAACACTTCACGGGATCACAGAACTGTCTGAATTGGAAGGAATCCTTGAAGACCATTTACTCTAACTCTCCTGCAGTGAACAAGGACATCTACAGCTACACCACGGTGCTCATAGTTCCATCCAGCCTGACCTTGAACATCTCCAGGGATGGAGCATTCACAACCTCTCTGGGCAACTTGTTCCAGGGCCTCATACCCTCATCCAGTCTAAATCTCTCCTTTTTTCATTTGAAACCGTATCCCCTTGTCCTATCACAACAGACTCTGCTAAAGAACCTGTCCCTTTCTTACAGCCTTACTTTAGATACTGAAAGGCCACTCTCAGATCTCCCTGGAACCTTCTTTTCTCCAGGCTGAAAAGCTCCAGCTCTCTCAGCCTGTCCTTGAAGGGGAGGTGACCCATCCCTTGGATCATTTCTGCAGCCCTCCTCTGGACATGCTTCAAAAAGTCCATGTCTCTCCTGTACTGAGGGCTCCACTTCTGGACGCAGTACTGCAGGTGAGACAGCAGCAAAGCATTATACCATCATGCCATGATCAATACAGAGGACCTCTCCAAGACCAAGTAATTGGACAGCAGTTTTGAGGAATTCTCTCTCCTTATTCCCAGAGTGGAGTGCTTGAGTATTCTTCCACTTTACTCTGGCAATGTCAAGTCATCAAGCTGATTTCCAGCAATGAGCTCTGAAAAGGAAATCTCAGCACTAGGCTAAGCTGTGAAAGAGTACAATAATCTTCATCACACCAAAGTGCAGGACAGCTGGCAGGAAAGAGAAACCACTACTCTACTCAGTTCAAACAGGAAAAAATATCCTGCAGTATTAAAAATAAAATAAAACAGAACACAAATTTAAAAGCTACAAGGCGAGTAATTCATTTGGGCAACACACATTGCCAATATTCTGTGTGAATTGTTTAAGTTGAAGGTTCACAGTTTAATCAGAACCACTGGGAAAAAAAATAAACAGAAATGCTAAGGTCAGAAGCACACAGTTTATCCTGAGTAAACAAAATAGGTTTCTCAGTTAAGGGACTTCTGTTTGAAATTTAAAAAAATATATGCTGCAGTTTGTCCACTGTCCAGTAAGGGGAGTTGGTGCCTAGAGCTTCAAGTCAACCGCGCATATGCAGTTTTGGGTGGAGAAAATGCAAATAAACTATTCTGAAGCACTGACATTTAGACCATGCTGTTAGTTGCCAGAAGATGAGAGAGGCAGATAGACATATGCAGAAAACCCACTAAACCAAAGGGCTGGAAAAGGGAAAGGAACCAAGAGAAAATGCAGTAGAAGAAAGGCATGATTTTTCTTGGGAATGGGTCTTTATCTCCCTGTGAGGCTTTACGGAGAGAATTTGAAGGTCATCCATACGGAAGCAGAAAGGCAAAGGGCAAATGATATCCTAAGCTCCATCTTGATTTGGTAAGAAGAGTGTGTTTCTGAATATGATACTCTTGTGGTAGCACTGAATCACAGAATGGATGAGGCTGGAAGGGATAGCTTGGGATCATCTAAGTCCAATTCCTCCAGCAGTCTCGAGGGGACATGGAGGAGGGTATCACACATCTTGGGGAAGACAGTGGAGGAGCAGCAGCAAGAGGTAATCAGACTACTCACCAAGTCCCATTGCTAGAAACATAAATAGAGAAAAATAATACAAAAAGCAGCACTCAAACCCTCTTGCAAGGAGTGGGATTTAATAATATCATATGGTATCTAAAAGAAAATGTCAGCAGTAGGAACTCATTAAGCATTGTATGGGGAAAAGCAGCAAAAACCAGTACAGCATCTACACCCATGCTGAGCTCACCAAGGGAAACCAGGCTGCCACTGGCTACAGCATTGCAGAGAGGAGCCCTCAATGCTTATGTTCCTTTTTGCAGTTAATCTCATTAACCTTGTATTCACTCTATTGTTGGTGATTACTCAGGACACTAATAGGCATACTTTTCCATACTGTTTACTCAACATTACAAAGCTGTATATGAAATGGGGCTGGAACAAGCCAATTCTCCCCATGCTACGGAAAACAGAAGTAAAGAAAGAAAATCCTTGTTACAGAGATTTGTTGCAAAGATCATGATTTCCAGAGGAAGAATTAAGTGTAAATTATCCAAGTGATTCAGAAAAAAAAAAAAAATCTATAAAACCCTTCTTTATATTTTCCCTCATTTCTGAACTGTTTTATGGAGGAGGAATTGACACACACACTAAAAACTCCCAAGAAAAGATTGATGCCCTACTATTAAGCTAGAGTAGGTGAAATAACTGTTCTAGCCATGATACAAATTACCACAATGGTATTCCAGGTGGGAAAAACAGATGTAGTTTAAGGAAACTACTTCTGCTGCTAAAAACTCTAAAGGTTTTACAAATACAGCCTGTTACATCCTGAAAAATGAAACTCTCACTGCCCATCTGTTCCTAGCAGTGAGCATCTATTAGCACTCACTTTGGCCAGAAAGCCAACTCAAAGTCAGCGAATGCGTGATGAGTGCCATCCCAGAGCTTAATGAAGCAGCCAAGTCAGACATGATCAGCCAAGAAGGAAGGGAAGCTGGATGGAGTTTTTTTTTTCTCTCCAATATCAACAAATCAAATCAGTGAACTTATTCCAGAAGCATAAGATGCCATCCAGAAGCAAACACATCCTGAGCCCACTACTCTAAGCCATTCCAAAGTCTGGGTCAACAAAATACAGCACCACTGCCAATGAGTTCAGGAGATATAGAGGAAAGCAACCAAACCAAACCACCTGAAACAGCAAGGGTTGTCACTCAAAGAAAACAACAGATAACTCACCCACGCTTCTATTCCCTCGCGATGTGGAGCCACTGGTTTGGCACAAGGCAGCAGAGGCACAACAGACCAAAAGCTTGTTGTCTCAGTGGCTTCTCTGTGTAGGGAAAAAGGAAGAAGTGAAAATGAGAAGGAAAAACACATACAGGCTTCTATCTGCTCCATTTCCCCCAGTATGAAGTCAAGTATTCCCAAGACCAAGGGTATTAGCTACATCTTTAGATTCAAACTCTGCTTCAGGGCTTTCACAGCCCCTGAATTTGTTAAAGAACAACAACAAAAACTTCTGAAAGATTACATTTTGGTTTGCACAATCTTTCTGACAACAATGTAGCATGAATATTAAAAAAAAAAAAAAAAAGAAAGAAAAAAAGAGGGAAAGAAAACCACTCTTCCACCTGGGTTTCAGAGTGCCATGATGTCTAGCAAGAAACAGCTGGAAACATTCTGCAATTTGTGACTTCAGATAATCATAGAATCACTGAGACTGGAAAAGGCCTTTAACAATATCTAGTCCAACCATTAACACATCACCACCATACCCACTAAAGCACGTTTCACAAATAATGTTGTTTCACAAATAATGTTGTTTCCTTATGAGGTATGAGATCACATCTCATATTCTATCTTCAGCCGTTAAACAGGATGCATGGGCATTTTACCGATATTTTATATTACAAAAAGAAAAGGCCATGCAACTAATGAGACTGCTGAACTGCCATCCCAGCTGGGACAACCAGCAGGACCCAGCAGTAGAAGAGGTCTCAGCACTGAGGAACAAAATTCACGCCAAGACAGGGGAACAGAAAGCTGTACAGAGGTCTCATGCATGCCAGATAATCTGGTTATAAAGCAGAATACTGAAAAATCATTTATAAGCAGCCACTTCAGAGGAAAAATTATTACTTTTGGGAAGATTACGCATGTAAGAGTCTAGGTGCACACCCATGTGCACAGAGCAAAGGCAGGGGTAATGCAGCCACATAAACAAATACACAGCTGGTATTTTAGAACAGCATCCATAAAGATCTAATTGCTCTCCTAATTGCTATAGTGCCTTTTTTTTGTCTCAAATTCAAATGGAACTTAATACGTTTCAATGAAATTTCTTATGCTTAAAGAAAAAAAAAAAGCTTCATGCACTCTGCAGAGTGTTTTGTCCTTACTGGTTCACAGAATCATAGGATATCCCTAGTTTGAAGGGACCTACATAATCGAGCCTGGCTCCACACATGTCCACCCTAAGTTCAGACCATATGTTGGATGGTAAAATGACTGATTGAACAGTGAAACACAAAAGAAATACAAAGACAATGCACAACCAGGGGAATACTTCTAAATAGATGAAACTACACTACAAACTATTTCAGAAGTGATGGGTTTGAGCAACTCAGGTAAAAGCACTTTTATTCTATGTGAACTTAAACACACAGAAATATTATTCCCTCTCCTCTAGGTCCCTAGGTAAACTGGCTTAACTGCTGGTAAGTGGCTGGTTGATTAGTTTGGAATGTAGGACTGGTTAGAAGGCTGTAGGACTCAGCCTTCAGACTCATCAGAGCCTTATAATTCCTCCTTGTTACAGGATGGTACAGGATGGTGGAGAATGTCAAATCACATGGGGGTGTCACAAACAGCAGGGGAGGATACTGAAGGAGCTCCCTGCCTTGAGATTCCTTATACTCTTAGAAGAGTCACACAGTTACTGTTTCCTATTCTTTGACAAACTACTTCAAGTCCCTTAAAAGCCAACAGAAGACGCTCCTATGCATTATTATGTAAGTTAAAATACAGTACCTTGAGCCAGCTCTTGAAGACAGAGTATATAAGTAAGGCCTTCACAAACTTTGGTAGTTGCTCAGCAACACCTTGTCATGCTACATCATACAATAACATCTTGTTATTTCCCTGGCCAAAAGTCAAAAAACATCTTTCGAAGAGAATAAATGATGAAACTCCCAGATCCAGCTATCTCAGGAATAACCCACACCTCTATCCAGGGAACCTTCCAAGCAGCAAGACATGCTGCAATTTCTCAAGGATACCAAGTCTTCATTCTTTGTAATTACTGTATCATGACACAGGAGAGGCTGTGGATGCCCCATCCTTGGAGATGTTCAAGGCCAAGACAGACAGAGCCTCTGGACAACCTGTCTAGTGCTTGACTTAATGGTTGGCAGCCCTGCCCACAGCAGGGAGCTGGAACTGAATCATCTTGAGGTCCTTTCCAACCCAAGCCATTCTACAATTCTATGAAGAACAGCTTCATTGATATGTCAGATTCCTTTGCATAAATTCATCTTCCCCTGAGAAACCATCAGTATGAGGTACCAATGCCTCACTTCTTCGTATCTTCCATATGCTACAACGCTCCTATAATTCATAAAAAAGAGCCAAACCGATCAAGTTATAGACAGCAACGCTGGCAGCTGCAGTTATCTATTTTAATCTGATCAATTACTTCTTCCTTTTTATAAAATACTTTAACATTCATACGATTTTACTGCAATTTGAAGTAAGGAAAATTGTCAGAAATCTTCCCTCTAGCAACTCTGCATGGAGCAATCCTGTTCTGCATGAAGACACCATTTTTTGTCCTGCACTGAAAAGTCAGGATGTTCTCAGCTCCTAACATCAGATTTCATCACCTTCACATAGCACAGAGTCAAGCTTTGTTTACTGGTTTTATTCACAGAAGCAATTCAAAATTTTCATAGAACCACAGAACATCCAGAATCGGAGGGAACCCCCATGGATCATTAAGTCCAAATCCTAACTCCATACAGAACCACCCAAATCTCAAAGCCCATATCTGAGAGCATTCTCTGGGCTGAGCAATCCAAGGGACCTCAGTCACACTTCATATGTCTTGCTCTCCAGACCCTTAACCATCTTCATAGCCCTCCACTGGATGCTCTCCAATAGTTTTACGTCTTTCTTACATTGTGGCACTCAAAACTGTACACATTTTAACTGTCCAGAAAAAGCAAAGCCATGCAACATCCCATCCTCTCAAAGAGTGATTCAAGTCCCTCCATGCAGAAAACTAGCCTGTTATCCCTGGTGGCCCAGTTTTACACAACTATCAACATTATACCCATTTCTTAGAGTTGCCTTGGGCAGACAACCAAAGGATGAAAACTAAGACTGAAATTATCAGTATGCACTACATCATCTATGTGGTTTCTCTGCTGAATATTGATCCATCTTCTCCTTACCTCATCTTCCCACCTTTCCATCCTACATATCCCACATATCTGTCCTCCTCTCTGACTACTGTCATAGAATCACCAAATTGGAAAGGACTCTCATAGGTCATATAGTTCAGCTCCCCTTCAGTGAACAGGGATACCTACAGCTACATCAGGTTACTCAGAGCCTGGTCCAGCCTGACTTTGGATGTCTGCAAGGACAGGGCATCCATCACCTCTCTGGGCAACCCGTTCCACTGCCTTTTGTTAGAAGTTTGCTCCTTGGAGGTCTCATGCTGGGCTAGGCACTGCAGACAAACACAAGAGGGACACAGGCTTTGGTTGGCATCAGGAGGAACAATACTTTTGTATGGAGGAATTAACAACAACTCTGCCTACCTAAGGGTTTTTTAAGCCATCATGTATATAACTCACATGACAGTTAGTGTAGGAATATCATGGTAAAGAACTGTAATGTAAGGGGTGGGTTTTTCCTGTTTCTATGGTTATAAGCAATTTTAATGACCAACCTAAATAAAAAACCTGGAAAAGAAAGTAGGAAGGAGTGAGGTAGGCGTATAATTTTGATTGACAAGCCAAAGCATAACTAGTTAAGACCTGTCAAATGTCTGCTTAAGATCACAAATCCTCAGCACATTGTATGGCAGATAGAATTAGCCTAAATGCACAGCTTTACAAAAATGTTTCCTACCCAGCAAGATCACAGTTCATGATTTCAGTTTCCCCTCACTGAGCATCTGATACAACCAATACTAAGGAAGTCAGAGGACAAAAAAAAAAAAAAAAAAAAAAAAAAGAAAATACATACCATTTTTACCATTTGTGAGATTTTCAAGTGCTACCATACTATGACAGCCTAACTTTTCCTGGCCAAAAAAAATTAACATAGAATCACCGAATGGCTTAGGTTGGAGGGGACCTTAAAGATCATCTAAAGATGGAGTTAAATCCAGCTGGTGACTGACCACAGTTGGTGTTCCCAGGGGTCAGCAGTGGGGCCTGACCCGTTCAATATCTTCATTGATGATCTGGATGAGGACAGTGTACTTTCAGTAAGTTTACAGATGACACCAAGTCGGCAGGAAGTATTGATCTGCCTGGTGGTAGGAGGGCCCTATAGAGGGATACGGACAGGTTGGATCAATGAGCTCAGGCCAATGGGATGAAGTTCAACAAGACCAAGTGCCAAGTCCTTCACTTTGGCCACAACAACCCCAGGCAACGCAACTATTGGAGCAGTGGCTCGAAGTCTATGCAAACAGATCTGGAGGTGTTATATGATGGCTGGCTGACCATGAGCCAGCAGTGTGCCCAGGTGGTCAAGGCCAACTGCAACTTGGCTTGTATCAGAAGTAGTGACACCAGTAAGAACAAAAGAACGAGATTGGAGGAAAAGTAAGGGCAGCCCTACAAATGTTCACTGGTTATGTATCAAGAGGGAAGAGCAACGGGCAATAAACAGACACGGAACGTTCCTAAAGTCAGAAGTCATGAACGATCGTAGAATGAAACTGGGTATAAGGCAGCACACGAAAGGCTCTTGAAGATGAATCCAGTTCATATTTAATGATACTAAGATGCAACAAAGGACTGACACAAAGACAACACAAGACACCCATGAACAAAGCTAGAAATGTATTTTGTCTTTTACTTGCCCATCACCTTTGAGATGCAAGCAGGACACAGTGATCTTCAGAGTTATATATTCATTAGAGCATTTTACAGATCACTACTTTTTAAGTTTCTATGTTTTCTTGTAATGTCTTAGAACACCCTGCTATCTTATCAAATGCTGTTTCATTTTTAAAAAGGGGAAAAATAAGCAAATAGGATGGGGTTATGAAGAAGGGAAGTCAACAGCTCCTGAGATGCCTGCCAACAGGAA